CCTGGATCGTGTACAGATTCTAACTGAAACACGAAATCACCGTTAATTAGCAGGAGATCAAAGATGGGGCCGACGGGGACCCCTCCGGGCAAGCAGCGGCGGCGGGCTCAGGGCACCAGCTGGGGCTCGTTTCTCATGATGGCTCAAGAGGGGGAGCAGGAGATATATGGAAGTTAAGGGAGTGTCCTCTCCATCACCTCCAACAGGCTTTTAACAGTACAACGGGTTAGTAGCTGCTCCCCTGCCTTTGTATCCAGGTAGGTGCCTGCCGTCCTCTTTCCTTGCAGCAGGGGAGGTGGGGAATTTGCTTGCTGTGTCACGTGCCCTCGTTCATATTCCTTCCAGGTGGTTTTCCAGGCTTTGTAACTCCCGGGCTGTGAGATCCTCCCAATAAGCTTTTAAATTAAAGGAAGCAGTAATAGTTGAGGGGGGGGAAGGAGAGTTTATTTTCCCCAACTAGACTCTAAGACCCTGGCTTCTAAACCCTTAAGATCTATAAGGCTCTTTTATAGCTGCACTGCTCTCACTTCCTTTGGGATCTGACTGGGTGATTTCCACCTCTCCCTGATGCATAGGAAAAGTAACTTTTTTTTTTTTCTTCTGAAAGAAGTGGTAGCTTAAAAAAAAGTGTCAAATGGCTAAGGAAAGAAGCTCGAAAAATGTGAAGTGCTGTTTCTCTGTGCCCCTGCAGGCCCTCCTGCCTCGGCCTTGGGCTGGCCGCTGGAGGAGCCGCTTGCCTCCCCGCAGGGCCTCCTCCCCCCAACACGGACGTCCCCCCCTGCCCCCAGTCTGTCTTCACTGGCGGGGGGACCGAGGGGCTTATCTGTCCGCGGCGACGGTGGCGATCTGCAATGCAGACGCGCAAGAGCCTCCGCATGCCCCGGGGCAGGCTCCGGGCTCCCCTCCATTCTTTGCATTTGGGTGGGGAGAAAGGGTGTTAAATGTGGGGGCGGGGGAGGTGTCTGCCAAGCCCCGTCCAGCTCACCGGGCGGCTCTGCTCCGGCCTTCTGGCCCCGAGGGGGGAACAAGGCTCTTCCTCCCACGCCCCAGCAGGGAGGGGTGCCCGACCCCCACCGCGGCACCTAGGAGCCGAGCTGGGGAGCGGGCCGGGTGCCCCTGCCCCCCCCCACTCCCTGGATGCCCCCC